CGCATTATATATCATCTGCCATTTTAGTTTATTTAAAGTAGAATGAGAATGTAATGGCACTAATTGGATTAAATGATTCTAGATTTTACATTTTCCTTAGTCTCTTACATTATTTTCATCCACAACTAAGTACAGAGTGTTTTTAAGCTTTTCACCTTTATCTAGTTTTTTCCAAAGCTTTCAGATTAATTTCTAGAGAAATACAAACTCTTTCCATACTGATATTTTATCCATTTGCAGAATAGGTAAATACATTACATAATTATAACAGCAAATGCAGTTGACATAAATGCATTGGGAAACCAACCTAAGTTACTGTTGGTAAACACGTAACTCAACTAGTAGAAATAGGGGTTCAGAGACCCACATAGACTAACCTACCAGCTTTAACAGTGCTCTGGGAATCAAGTAGGTTTCACAGAGGATAAAGAGAAAGGGGTTGGTTAACCCTACAGATCAGTTAAGTAGAGGTCAAACAAAAGAGCTTGTACTGATTTTTTTTCACTTCTATTTCTTCAATTAATCATGAAGTTGAGCACCTTTTGATTTATTTTTTGACCTTGTATTTCATCAGTTAATTGTCATTTTTTTATCCATTGTGTATTTTTTCTACTAAGATGTGTGTCTAATTCTTAATGATTTATAGGAATTTTTTTACCTATTATGCATATTAATCCATTGTTAAGTGTGTGGCAAATATTTTTCACCTGCTTTATTTTTGCTGTTGTTCTTTAACTTTGCTTATGGTGTCTTTCATCTTGAAGGATTTAAAAATTCTTACAGAGTCAAATTTGTCAATATTTTTCTTCATGGCACCTGTATTGGAAGTGTTGCTTTGGAAGACCTACCCCCTCATCTAGATTGCTTTTGGTTTCAAAAGTTATATAATTACTGAGTATTTTTCCCTGATCCTTTCCCCATGTTTGTTCCCTGGGAAGAATAAGTAAGGGTTTTTAAAAGATGTTTGCTAATAATGAACCTTCTTTTTGTACATATAGGTGAAGTGAACTGGGCTAAAAATTGGACCTTTAGAGCTAATGAGATAAAAGTTTAAATCTTATTTTTATTCCCAGTTTTCAAAAACTTGGTGTTATTATGTGCACTTTCCATTTTGTAATATGGAATTACTTGAATCTTTCTTTTGTTACCCGAGTTGGGCTAGATTTCCACTACATCTTAAATTACTAATTTGATTACAAATATCATTTTGCTTATACATAGAAATGAAGCTGTGCTTGCCGACTTTTATTCAGAGATAAGTTAGACAAAGACTGGTTTTGAGGATAATGAAACATGAAAATTATATACAAAGCTAAAGACAGATATGCTTCATAGAGAATATAAGAATTATATTGTAACCCAAGAACATTCACAAAATTCCACTTATATTAAGCATGGTGTTATAGTTTTTGAATTACATGTTTTGAATTACATATGAAAGACAATTATAATTTACACATGAAGATCGAAACTTTAAATCATAAAGCCAGTGGCAAATTTTCAGTTCTCATTTTATTTGATTAGAACTCTTAGTGTTTGACACTGTTGATCCCTCTATTTTTTTTAAACACTTTCTTCTCTTTGCCCACAGTCTCCTGGTTCTTTGTCCATCTCTACGGCTCTTCCAAGTTTTCTCTGTGAACAATTTATCCTCTATCTGTCCCCTCCCCCTTTTTTTTTTAACGTTTTCATTTCATTAGAGAATTAGGTAAACCTCAGATTATAGAGCCAAGGCCAAAATAATTTTGCATTAAAATGTGTTCAAGAAATCAGTCACAATTTAACTGGGTTAGACGTCAACATGGAGATGATGTGTTCGTCCAAATAACCTTCACTTAGGAAGACTACATTCCTCCAACATGTCAAAAGATGATAAATACGATTTCTTCTGCCTGTCACTGAGGAAGAAATTTTCTTTCTCGATGGGCCAACATTATTTCTTTTTTGCTGCTCTTTTCCCTTCTCCTTTCTTTGGTTTCCCCTTTCCACGAACCTTCTTTAGATGAGTTTGCTCATCCCTAAAATCCTGATGCTCATCTCTATAGAGGCCAAGAAATCTGAGCATTCCCATGAGTGCAAAATAAGCGTTGTGATTTGGATACCAGTCATAAGTCTCCTTCCTCTTGGCCAAAGGCCGTTCACTAAACAGTTTCACCACTTTCAAGGACTTGGAATCAGTAGACCTGGCAACTTCACCAAATAGCCGGGCACTCAAATGAGACATGCACAAGACATATTCTGAAAGTGAAGACATTTCCTGAACAGCAAGGAGAAAGAGTCCTGGACCTGACCTTCTGCACCTGCACCCTGACCTTCTGCACCTTCTGCACACGCCCTCGTCCCCTCTACCTGTCCCTTAAACATTCACATTCCTTGGACGCTTTCTCCAGGACTTTTCTTATGTGATACTGTCTCCTGACCTGCCTCATCTACTCCCCTGGTTTGCTTTATGATCTAGATACTGATGACTCACAATCTCCAGCCCACACCTCCCCCCTGGGTTCCAAACCACATGCCCGTCAATTTCCTGGATGTCTCCACTGAGCTTAACATCAGCTTATCGAAAAACAAACACATTGTCTTCTTTTATTCTCTACTCTCCAACCTTTCTTCTAAGCTTGTTCTTCCTGCTGAGTTGGGAGGCAGGACACTGGTGGTTTGAGCACAGACTCAAAAGTCACTTGGAGCTGAGTTTGAATCTGAGCACCCTAATTACATGAGTGCCCTTGGGCAAGATATTTTACCTCTCTCAGCCTCCGCTTTCTTACCTATAAAGTGGAAATGGTAGTCCTACTGCAAAGAGTTGTAAGAATGCAATCAGATAATTGTACACCGCCTGCCCCAAGGTTATAACTCAGAGCGTATTATTCCCTCTGTCAGCAAATGGTAGTTCACCCAGGTAGTTTGATGCCAAAACTCAAACAGTCTTTGAACTTTCTTTTTTTCTTATCTCTCATATTCACTCAGTCTTCAAGTCCTATTAATGCTATTCCTAAAAGTATCTTGAATCTACCCATATCTTCCCCTTTGTACTCAGTGCCACTATCTGGGTCCTGTCACCTTCATCTGTTAATACCGCTGTCCCCTGATTAATATCCCTGACTCCACTCTTATCCATTCCTAATACAGCCCCCAGGGAGAACTTTTCAATTACTGCCTCTCTTGCCTGCAGGATAAAAGACAAGTTCCTTAATTTGGTCTTTAAGACCCTTCTTAAAATGGTCTCATTTCTGAGTCTGCTTCGTATCTCGTCACCAAAGTAATAAGTGCCATAAATAGATGTCTTGCAGAATCTCATTATAAAACTCATTCAAACTGGGTGTGATGTGGTCCCAGCTACTCAGGAGGCTAAGGCGAGAGAATCACTTGATCCTAGGAGTTTGAATCCAGCCTGGGCAACATCGCAAGACCCCATCTCTAAAAAACAAACTAAGTTCATTATAAGAAATTTGAGAAATTAAGAAACAAAAAGAAAATGTGCCCATAATTCATGATCCCGCCATTGCAGCATTTTGGTGGTGTTCTCTAATTTTATTTTTTAAAAGAAACGGGGGTTTTGCTCTGTTCCCCAAACTGGAGTTCAGTGGTGCAGTCATAGCTCACTGCAGCCTTGAACTCCTGGTCCGGTGATCCTCTTGCTTCAACCTCCTTTGTAGCTGGGACTACAGGTGCATGCCACTGTACCCAGCTAATTTTTTTTTTTTTTTATTTTTAGAGATGGGGTCTCACTGTGTTGCCCAGGCTGGTCTTGAACTCCTGGTCTCAAGCAAGCAACCCTCTCACCTCAGCCTCCCAAAGTGCTGGGATTATAGTTGTAAGCCACCATACTTGGCATTGTTCTTTAATGTTTTTTTTTTCTTATTGTTGTTTTGTGGGTTTTTTTGTGTTTTTTTTTGAGACGGAGTCTCTGTTGCCTGGGCTAGAGTGCCGTGGTGTTAGCCTAGTTCACAGAAACCTCAAACTCCTAAGTTCAAACTATCCTCTTGCCTCAGCCTCCCAAGTAGCTGGGACTACAGACATGCACCACCATGCCCGGCTAATTTTTTCTACTTTTTTATTTGCCTGGCTAATTTCCTTGTATTTTTTTTTTTAATAGAGACAGGGTCTGGCTCTTGCTCAGGCTTGTCTTGAACCTTTGAGCTCAAGCAATCCTCCTGCCCCAGCCTCCCACCCAGAGTGCTAGGATTACAGGTGTGAGCCACTGTGCCCTGCCTGTTCTCTATTTTTTAATACATACATTGACATATGTGCAATCGAATTGAATATTCAGGTTTGTGGGGATTTTTTTTTGTTTGCATTTTTAAAAGCATGAGGAAATATAGGCTTGTTATCTAAAAATATAGAAAATGACAGGTCCTATTCATGACTCAGACCTTTACTACTTCCCCCAAATCCCCTAACCTCATTCTCTTTATGGCTGTGTTTATGAGTAGAAATGCATAGATATTTCATTCCACTATTCCAAAAACAAATCATAAGAATTTTCTCGTAACGTTGACAATGTTTTGTCAATTTCAGCTTAATGGTAACATGTTAATGGTATAATAGTAGCTACCATGTGTGGTTGAGTAACGTACTATATGCCTGGTATGTAATTGCTAATCTTTAGACATAATTCTACGATGATGAGGGAACTGCATGACTAATATGAATGTCCTTGCATTCAAACACTGCTCTGCCTCTTCCATGGATCCTTAATTGTGTGGATTGTGACAATTAACCATCCACGAATTTT